GCAGGTGGCCCGTGTGGCCTGCCCTGCGCTGTCCCTCCCCAGGCCTGGGGGTGACTCTCTCCATATATTCCCATGATTGCTTATTTTTATAAAAATAGCAAAGTAAAATATTTTTCTTCTCTGTTTCTTACAAGGATCTCTAAATCGTCCAAGCCAACAAGAGCCCGGCTGCGGACCCGCTGCCCCGGCCCAGGCCCAGGGCCACCTGCTGGGTGGGGACTGCCAGCCGAGCCGGGCACCAAGACACAAGGTCAAGGCAGAAGGCAGGAGCGGGTCCCTGTGCCCTCCACCGGGACAGGAGGTCAGAGAGGGACAGGAGGACTCCGTGTGTCCGGCTGGCTCCCGCGTCCCCAGGACAGGGCTGCAGCGTCCTGGCTCCAGGCCTCGGCACCTGGCGGAGCCCGATCCCCCTCAGCAGCAGAAGTCGCCCAGGACAAAGCCACCCGGGGCCAAGTAACGCGGGCATCAGGACGTTTCCCGCCCGTGATGTCGTTGTCCACGAGCTGCTTGGTCACTGCGTGGCACAGCGGAGTCACCTGGCTGCCGTAACCACCGCCTGACTCGGGAGTGAGATGAGCGAGAGGGACCTGAAGGGGCGGAAGTGAGTGTGCGGGAGGCCCTCGGGTGACAGTCCCAGGTCTGCTGGCACTGTGTGTGGTGGCCTGAATGGTGGCCCCACCCACGGCCCTAACTCCTGGGCCCTGAGGATATGTAGCCCCGAGTGGCAGAGGGACCTGCAGGTGACATGAAGCCAGGGCCATGGGGACAGGACGTCTGGGCTGTCCAGTGCCCTCACCGAGGGCCTCATCGGGGGCGACAGGAGGCCAGTGTCCCCCAGGAGGGGTGACAAGGGGAGCAGGAGGGTGCAGTGACGTGAGGGGCCATGAGGAGCCAGAACGCAGGCGTCTGGGAGCTGAAAAGCTGAGCCCCATCTCAGGGCTCCTGAGGCCCTGGCCCCCGACCTTGAGCCCAGATGTCTGACCTTCAGAATTCCTTGGCTTCTGAGGCACTGGCTGGTCGGTTTGTCCCTATTCCTGTTCCTCTTGGTGAAATAACTTACATTTACATCTTGCGCGTTGGTGTTGTGTGGCTGGGGATCAACCCAGGCCTCCCTCAGGCTAAGCAAGTGCCCCACCCCTGAGCTGCACCCCCAGCCCTGGACAATTTTTTAAAAACTGTCTTGTGGCCAATACACCCCAGGTCTGCCATTTATCCACTTCAAGGCCTCCAGTTCAGCTGTGTGAAGCAGATTCACCCTGCGGAGCTACAACTGCCTGGCCCTGTCCATCCCGCCAAACCAAATCTCCAGCCCTGCCCCCCCCACTCCTCCTCACCTTGGCAACTACCATCTGCTGTGTCTCTCTGCATGTGACCTCTTTATGGACTTCCTGTAAGTGTGGTCACATTGTATTTGTCCTTTGGTGACTGTTTTTTTTCCGCTTCCCAGGACTGAGTTGGATGCACACCTTTGGCTGATCCCTTCTCCGTTGCCCATTCTGAGTTGTTCCACACACTGTTTACGCTGTTTTGTTACAGCAGCCGTCAGAGACTAATACAGACAGGAAATGTCAAATTTTAGGTTGAAGTGGAATGAAAATATATAATTTTTTTCCTGCCCTTCCAAACCACAGCCCGCCCTGGATTGTTCTGCCTTGCTCTGAGTCTGTCCTCATCTGCACAGGAAAGTCTGGCCCCCAGGCAGGTCCTGATTCCAACAGAGCAGGGCCACCAAGGTTAGGTCCTGGGGAGAGGGAAGCCACAGGGAGCCCCGAGGATGAGAGGAGAGGGAATCTTCAGTTTGGTGGCTGTCATCCTCAGCTTTCCACGGTTGTGACAAAATGAACCAGCTTAGGGGAGCAAAGAGTTTTTTGGTTCACATTCCAGAGGCTGCGGTCCAAGGTCCCTCGGCTCCATTGTCTCTGGGCCTGTGGTGAGGCTCACCATCGTGGTCAGAAAGGAGAGAGTGGGAGAGAGAGGGAGAGAGAGAGAGAGAGCGTTGGGGACAAGACACATCCTTCAGGGCACACCTCCAGCTGCGCCCCACTGCCCACAATTTCCTCTACCTCCAAAGTCCACTCGATCATGAATCCACCTGAGGATTAATCCACGGATGACGTCAGAGCCAATCTCTCCCCCCAAGCCCCTCGGAACACTGCTGCCCTGGGGACCCCGGGATTCCACGCCACAACAGTGGCCAATACTGGTCTCCATATCTAGGACGAGGAGGGAGGGTAGGGGATTGGGTGGACACGAAAAGTCAGCCCCTGTGTCCCCTCGGGGGACTCCTTAGATGTGCAAGAGTCAGGTGACAGAGAACCCGGCCAAGGGTCCTCAAGAAACCCCACGCCTCTGAAGGCAGGAGGTGCCCGTGAGACCAGGTGTGAGACAGCTCCGCCAGCGCGTCCCTGCTGCAGGCTCAGCCAGGTCCCCTCGCCAGTCCCTCACTGTCAAGGCAGCGGGAAGCCCAGTTCCCACCTTCAAAGTGTGAAGAGGACTCTCCATCTATTTTAGGGCGTAGATACCAAGGACTGAGCTCCGGGGCCCTTCACCACCGAGCCGCACCCCAGCCCTTTTTGTTTTTAATTTGGAGTCAGGGTCTCTTTGAGTTGCTGAGGGCCTGGCTTTCCCTGAGGCTGGCTTTGAACTCCGCAATCCTCCTGCCTCAGCCTCCCGGGCTGCTGGGGTGGCAGGCGTGGTGCACTGCGGATTCTGTCATGTGTGGCAATGTCAGGACGGGCAGGGCCGGTGAGGTGCCCCTCACGTGCTCCCTTGGCACCGACGGTCCCTCTATCTGTGATGATGTCACCTTCTGCAACCGTCTCACAGCACGTGGCTCCCTCTGCACACCCCACTCCATCTCCCACTTGATTTTTCTCGGAAGCGCTTCTTGCAGCCGACTTCGTTGTTATTATTTATTGTTTTGCTGTTGTCTGGCCGTCCCACTAGCACACCTCTGGGAGGGGCAGGGCATCGTGTCTTTTGTTCTTGGTGGATCTGGAGTGTCTAGAAGTTTCCACCCGCAGTAACCGCCCCATAAACACTTCCTGCACCAATGATGGGCCAAATAGAGGAAAGGGTCGGTCACAGTCAACGGGATCCTTCAAAGGCTTTAGCTGCACCTGAGCTCCTCTGTGACACTTTCATTACTGTCCCCCCATTGGTATCCGATGTGGGGGGCTGTCCTTTCATTTGTGTGTGTGTTTAAAAGTTTTTAACTATTTATTATTCTGATGCACACTCACGACGGACAAGAATAATTTTTGAAGCCTGGATATTGACACCGTATCCTTGTATCAAATTATCACACTGTACCCCCCCCCAAATGTGTACAGTTTTTAAATAATTTATTTTTGGTATTGGGATTGAACCCAGGGGTGCTTTACCATTGAGTTACATCTCCAGCTCCCCCACCACCACCTTTTAAAATTTTATTTTGAGATAAAACCTCACTTATGCAGAGGCTAGCCTCAAACTTGTGTCCTCCTGTCTCAGCCTCCCCAGTTGCTGGGATTACAGGCATGCGCCACCATGCCTGGCTAAAATAACACTAAAATAATTCTGAACAAAGGAAAAAAGAGGGTTGAACCCCAAAAGGCTTTCAGTGAAACTGGATGTCCACACCTGACCACAATTTACCCAGAAGAAGCTTTGCTATCACTCAGAGGCCAATAAGCACATTGAAAGAAGGAGACTTTTTAAAGAGAGAAGAAAACAAACTATAAATGGAATTCACAGGTAGAAATGTTTCCTTGATTTCACCCTCTGCAGATCACGCCGGGCCCACAGGTTCATGAGTGACCATCTGGTAATAAACTTTATGGTCGATCGTTTAGTAGCAATCACAAGTCCCTGTTGCTTGGTGCACACTCAGATCCAATCAATCTCCCATCTTCCCACTTTCTTTTCTTTTTGAGTAACGTGTATCAAGTGTTCCTATGAATGCAGTTCAGTGAGATGCTCCAGAACCTGAATGGGCCCGCACTGATCAAATCCTTCCGTTCTCTAAATTCTTGATAATTGTTGTTTGGGTTCAGGGGATTGAACCCAGGGGGCTTTACCACTGAGCTGCATCCCCGGCCCTTTGCACTGTTGTGTTTTGAGGCCGTCCTGCTTCGGTGCTGAGGCTGGTCTGGAGCTTGTGAGCCTCCTCCGTCAGCCTCCCGGTCTGGGTTACAGGCCTGCGCGCCGCATCTTTCCCTCTTAGTTTTCTTTAGTTCTGTCTTTGGCTTATTAACTCTCTCTGTCCTCCCATCCCACAGCACTCCTCCCTGTGGGTGCTCTCCCCTCCCCTAAGCAGCCTCCCTTCAGGAGCCTCCAACAACCTCTCCCCCAAGAGGGAACCCGCTCACCGCCCCCCTGTGGGCGTGGCCAGAACAAGCCCCTCCCACACCTGCTCCCGCACCTGCGGGCGGCCTCGTGGACCCACCCGGGGCTGCCAGGAACCGTCCCGCTCAGGAAGTCGCCTTCCGGTGGGAGAACTCGGAACCTGGGTCGGTTTCCCTTTCCCAGGGCTCCCCGGCCCCGCCCCGGGCTTCCCCGGCCCCAGGCTCCCGGTGTCTGCGCGCGTTTCCTGCAGCGGCGGCGTGTGCCCAGGAGCTGGGCGGGGGACAGGCTGGGTGGAGCGGGAAGCGCTGGCATTTTTTTGTTTGTTTGTTTCTTAGTTTTAATAGAGTTGCTTCTAACGATTCTCTGGTGGGATTGCTGTGAGGTCTGTTGGACGGCATGCTCCTTGTGATGATTTACACACAGGATTTTACCAGGTTCCTAAAATCAATTCGAACCATCAGTCAGAAGGACTTAGAAACAGCTACCACAGGGACACAGCCACATCAGTGTCTATGGCGGCACGATTCACAACAGCTAAACTGTGGAGCCAACCTAGATGCCCTTCAGTAGAGGAATGGATTAAAAAAATGTGGCCTGTATACACAATGGAATATTACTCAGCAGGAAAGGAGAATAAGATCATGGCATCTGCAGGGAAATGGATGGAGTTAGAGAGGATAGTGCTAAGTGAAGTTAGCCAATCCCAAAAAACCAAATGGCGAACGTTTTCTCTGATAATAAGGAGGCTGACTCATAGTGGGGTAGGGAGGCCGAGCCTTAGATGAGGATTACATGAACTCTAGATAGGGCAGAGGGGTGGGCGGGGAAGGGAGGAAGGGGGGGTCAGCAATAAAGGTGGAATGTGATGGATATCATTATCCAGCGTACATGTATGAAGACATGAATTGGTGTGAACATACTTTATATACTAACAGAGATATGAAAAACTGTGCTCTATATGTGTAATAAGAATTGTAATGCATTCCGCTGTTATGTATTTAAAAAATAAAATCAATTAAAAAATGCTGGCATTTTGAGGCTGAGATCTAGAAGAGGAGACTGAGGTCAGAGATGCCCTAGGAGAGCAAGTGTGAGACCCTGAGCCCTGAGCCTGGGAGAGCTGCAGCCTCCTCTTGGGGAAGAGGCCCAGGAGCCAGGAAGGAAGCTGGGGGAGGTGA